AAATATTTTTTTCAATTTTTTTGATATTAAACAATTAAATTTTATTTGATTCAGAGTACTCAGACTCCGATGTATATGAGCGACCGGTTAACATGCCACCGGCACCGCCGACAAGCCAGATACAATCGGGTGAAAACGATCATCATCATGATTAATCATGTTAATTTTTTTTAATGTTTATATCTTTATTTTTTTATTAAATTTTATTCATTTTATAAGTTTGTTTTTTATCTATTTTTTTCACTTTTGAATACTGCTGAACATTGAATGTTAATCATATAGGTCATATGTCATATGTCAGCTGTTCTGCCCATGTATATAAACAGACAGTCACTTGTATTTAAATTAATCTTCATTCGTATTTTCTTTTGTATGCTATCTGTTATTATTATCATAATTAATTTATTATCTGCGGTAGTTTCGATGATGTACAACTGGAAAAAATTATAAACAACGAAAATATTTAAAACTTATTGTAAATTGTAAATTTTCATAATTAATAAACTAAACTTTTTGAATGATTTCTTTTTCATTCCAACCATTCAAATGGAATCTACTGATCAATTTGATGAAGAAATTAGTGATCAGCAACTCTGATTCCGGTTCCAAATATCTATTTGTGTGTCACATTATTATTATATGTTCCTGATCCAGATGATCTTATGGAAACATCAAGGCAATTTGCCGAAACAATCGAAGATGAGGATCAAATGAAATTGGATTTTCAATGGCTTGAACAAAACACTGATATTAATGATACTTCAAATTTAAAATGGCATTCAAGCCCTAACATGATCAGAATACAACAAATTTCAATTAATGATGATAATTCATCAAATTCCAATGAAATGGTACCGTTGTAGCATTTGAACCTGACTCACACCATATATCTAAAAAATCTGTACATATAAATTCCATTGTAAATAACAAATAAAAAAGAGAGTGTTATTAATAATATCTAAAAATAAAATAAAATAAAATTTACTACACTATATTCGTAATTATTGAGAATTTTTCTTGTTTTGTTTTGGGTGTTAAAAAAACAATTGAAAATCGTTGATAACAATTATCAAATTGATCGTATAAAAAAGGTTGAAAGTTTTAGTAATAGTTATGCTTGAAATTACTTTCAACAACACTCTTCATCTCACTCGAATCCAAACTATCATCAATTTTCTTTCAACAAAAATATCGAATCAAAACAAAATTTTTTTTCATTTCAGTTAAAAATGGACTCATCAAACAACTGCAACAACAACAACCAATCCGAAACAGAAAATATTACAAATAAAAATGAAAGTCTTTTGAATACATCGGATGAAATTATTAAGCAAGATTTCTTTTACATACCTGATCCAAGCGATCAGTTCGAGTCAAGCCGTCAATTTAAAAAAACGATTGGCAATTCGGATCAGGTATCCGAAGATTTTGAATGGTTAAATTCAAACATTGATTATACTGATAGAAACTTGAAATGGCATTCTACTCCCGTGCCAAAAAACACGAAAATTATCCCTACAATGAATAATGAATCAAAAAATGATGAAATATTTTCATCAACTTCATCATCAAATTCATCATATGATGATAAGACATATAATGAGATGGATAATGAGTGATTCAAAAAAAAAATTTCTTTAAAAAATTCATTGAATTCTTGAAAAAAATGCTATTTTTATTCAATTTTTATCTTCGAAAAAATAAAATTTGCGCTAGAAAATTATTCTCTTATTTACAATTCAGTCGATAATTTAAACGTTATTTTTACTCATCATGTTGTATTATGACTGCAATGACCTTTATTCATCTTTATAACCTTTAGTCATACTACCTTTACCCTATATCTAAAAAAATAGTTTTAAAAAATGCACGTGTGTAATGACTATTTACACCAAAACACTCAGTGACTATTGTTGTTTTTGTTCGTGGTTCCGGTTCCAATTTTTTTGTTGTTGTTGTTCCTTTCCACGTGTTTGTTTTTTTAAAAAAATAAAATTCTTATAATTTGTTTGTTTCCTATTTCAATTTGAATTTTGTTTCGTTTTTTTTGTTATTCTGATAACAATTATCAAATAAATTATATAAAAATGTTGAAAGTTTTATCGAATAAAAATCATTTTACAATCACAAATCTACTTCTACGCTATTATCTTATCTTACTCACAACCTTATCACTTTTATTGAATCTTATCAAAATTTTTCTATCGAATCTTTTTCATAAAAATTCAAAAAAAAGAATGAATTCTAAACAACAACAAAATTCAAACAAAACAAATATTCCTCATCCTGATTTCATAGTCTACAAAGACTGTGATGATTATGTAGAATCTACTGCTGATTTCGAAGAAAGAATCGCAGATGAGGAGGAAATAGCTCGTGAATTTGAATGGCTATCCGAATTCACCGTTGAAACGAGCTATTTACCCAGGCATTGGCGTTCAACGCCAATAATTTTTGAAGAAGTTAATCCACCGGATAACTTCGAAGAAATTATAAATGATTCTCGTGTAGTCGATGTTGTCAATATTGACAACTTTCAAGATTATCGAGGTAATTTGATTTTTTTTATTAATTTTGCTTTTTAAAATAACTTGAAATTTCAAAATAGATTTATTAGACAACAAAGCTCCTGGCGACAATCATATAAGACCGCCACTAAATTTACCACCACCACCAGCCGAGTGGTTAAAGAAATGAATGAATGACAGAAATTTCTCAAAATTTTTTTCTCATTGATTTTTTTACAATAAAATATTCTTTACACTGCTGAATTTGAATTTATCGGCAGAATTTCCTGATTTTTTTTACATAACACATCCAAATATATCAAATATTTCGGATTTCTTTATCGCAAATGATCCTTCGCGACATGCTGTTTCTTCGCGCCAATTTGTACAACAAATTAGCAATAATGATCAAATAATAATGATTTCGAAATTAATAATGAATCATCTAAGGAAATAAATGAACATTCTTTCATTATTTTTGATGATACCGATGGTTCATACGAAGTTACAATTGAATCAATGATCATCAATGAATTTGACCCAATATCCCATGATCAAAATGAAATATCATGGGAATATCACTGGCATGATTTTGTCAGTTTTAATCGTCAATATGGCGATAATGTCGTATTCATCAATCGCGATTTTAAATATAACTAAATAATGCGTTTTTTTTCTAATAATGTGTCCTTTTTTATCTATGTTTAACCAAATTTTCAAAATTTCTGTTCAATTTTTCCAATTTGTATTTTTCATTTTTTAATTTTCAAAAATTGTCATTTTTTTTCTCCAGCAGGGGGAGATATGTAGCATCATTAGCATGCGCAACACTCCACTGCAATATATAAATGCGAGTTTAATGTTTAATAAATAGAGACAGTTTTCCTACATTAATTTGTAGATGATCCAATCTGTTTGCATTTATTCTCTGTCATTTAATTTGATTAACTGATTTCACCAAAAAAGTTTATTATTGTTGTTGTTTATTACGTAATTACTTAAGAGAAATTGAATTTGTTGATGAAACAATCACCTAATGAATCATATAAAATTGTAAACAGTTTTCGTTAATAAGGTTCAATTTTACACTATACGCACCTTTTTTAAAACACTTTTCACAATACTTTCTTTTTTTATCGAATCAAAAAATCAAAAAATCTTAAACAAAATGAATTCAAAAAATAATCAGAATTCAGATAACAAAGCTGCCAAATGTCCGTTAATGACATTTGATGATTCAGATGACGAATCTGAAGTAAATAACATTGATTATATTAATCAATCTATTATACAAGAATTCGATCCTTTAACCCATGATGATAACGAAATTCCATGGGAATACCACTGGCATGATTTCATCACATTTACCCGACAATACGGGTTTATAGAATTTTTCAGTGGCATCGACAATGATGAATCAGATACGGACGATGATAACGAACTGGTTTTAGCGCCTGCTAGGCCATCAACTCCCATAGAATCGGGAGATTCTGATTCAGATTCTGATGATGTTACCATCGAAACTGATAGCACATATAGCGAAGATGATAACGAATATGAGATTGAATATCATCTTCCCATGTGGACACCAGTTCATCCTGGTAAAATAATTTTAAATCATCAAGACAATAATGATGAACTTATGCAAAATTATTGTCGTTTTATACTAATGGTAATTATTTACCTATTTAGAATGATTTTAGCTGTATCACGGCTACAAAATAACAACCGCAAGGCAGCTTTGTAATAATGAAAATTGTTATGAAATTTTCAATGTTTAATTATATTTTTTTAATTAAATTTTATATTTCTTTATAATATAATTTTTATCATTAATTTCATTACAATAACTGCGAATTTACACTCGATTTAAGAAAAAGATAGGATAAACAACTGAAATTTTTTTGGGATTATTTTGATTATATCGGTGGATTTTTCCATAACCTTTGATCCATTTGACCATGTTCTGGTTTATGATCATGAAAACAATCATTTTGTTGGCCATTATTATGATGATGATGATTATTGAAGTAATTCGGTTATATTTAATTAATTTAATGTTATTGTTTTCATGTAAAACAATTAACAAATAAATCATATAAAATTGGGAATAGTTTTAGTTTTTAAAATTGTATTTTGCATTACTCTCTCTTACTTTGAAATTTTTCTTTAAAAAATTATCGAATCGAAAAACACTAAAAAAACAAAAATGAACCCACAAAACATTTTTGAAAACTCTACAAACGCTGCCATTATTCCTTTGATAACATTTGATGATGATGAAAATCAATCGGAAAATAATAGAAATGCGGCTGATATTCCGTTAATCATATTTGATGATGATGACGATCAGTCTGAAAATAATATAAATGCTGCCGAACATCCATTAATAATATTTGATGATAATGAAGATCATCAATATGAAAACATGGATCAAAATGCCAATGAATTGGCAAATGATGATGAATCAATATTAAACCAATTTGACCCATTGCCACCCCATGATGAAGACGATTTACCATGGGAATTTCATTGGCATGATTTCATGGAATTCGCCAGAATAGTTGGCGACGATGTTTGGTTTTTTAACGCTGAAGATGAAATTATGTTAATGGAAGATGACGAAGAAGAAATATTTATTAATGTTGACGATGCATTATTATTCCTAGATGGTAAATGTTTTTTTTTCTCACTTATTTATTATTATTTCTAACTTGATCAATAATTTCTAAAGATTTAGATTCTGACGAAGAATTTACCACAAGTGGTTACTGCAGCGGTAGTCAATCATCAGGTTCTTCTGATATTAGTTTTTGAATCGGCAGCGTGAATGATAAACGTTAAAAATTCTAATGTTTGAATTATGTTTTATAAATTTTCTATATTAAAATTTTTTTACCATTTCTTAATTTTATCAATTTTCAATTTTTCAATCATGTTGATTAATTATCTAAAATGAATTCAAACAACATTAATAATAACGCTGCC